AATGAAGCCAACGTGTCTAAATAAAAGGTTGAATAAATCATTATGTAAATATTTAGATTCATTCAACCTTTATTGATACTGATTAGTCCCATTGAGCCAATAGGTCTCATTTACAAGAGAGACCTGGATTTTAACAAAGAGTGATGACAACAGTGGATAACAAACTGTTTTTCAATTGTAAAACAAACAAACAAACAAACAAAAAACTTAAATTTGTATGAATCATTTGTGAGTGTCTATTGTTGTTGATGTTGTTATCACTGTCTTATTATCTTGTGCTGCCTGCTCTGTTCTAATCTCTTCACGGACGATATGTGTGACGGTGGACATGTTTGGAGGTTGTTGTGTTGAACCTCCATGAATCAGCCTCTCTGCAGCTCTCAGCACCTTCACTGAGCCTTGAGGGAATCACTAAGCTGCCGTTGTTCTTCAGAGTTAGAAGGTGGTAGCTCTCGTCAAATGATGATCTCCAGCATCATCTTGTTCATGCCAGGCTTTTCATCCACTGTCCACAGCCACCTGTAAACATCAGTGAGACCAGTAGCTGTTTAACACATCTGAAAGGAAACCAGTGAGATTTTAATATGACCATGACCATTATGATATGATGTTGTGGGGGAGTGGTGGCGCAGAGGTTACAAGATGGGCCTGAGATCGGAAAGTCGCAGGTTCAACTCCCGGTACCGTCAACATCAAAATGTGGGTGGAAAAGGTGAAACACCCACACCTGCCTCCACCCTCATTGGCCCCACTCTGGGCCCTTGAGCAAGGCCCTCAACCCCCACCATCTGCTCCTAAACAGGTCTGTCTTGAAAATGAGTTCTCGTGACTCAATGAGACTATTTGTATAAATAAAGGGTAAATGAAAAAATAATAGTTTAAAATAGAAATACTCACATCATTAGGCCGAGGTTGTGGGTGTGACGTGCACGTTCCTGAGAGGCCACAGACAGACCAGCTCCAGCTTTTGTTGAGTTCCTGTAGTCCTGCAGTTTTCAAGCTGAAATGTAAAAGCATAATGAATATGAACTTTACAGTCTATAGTTACCTGTACATATAAACACATGGAGGTATCTCACCTTGTGACTGACAATAAAATACGTAACTTTATGAACCTTAATGAACTTAAAATTATGCACCTACTCTTTGAAAATGAGCCGATGGTACCACACCATCTCTGTCGGACAATCTGATCAGTTTTATCAAAATCCTCCTGTTTAAAATCCTCCACAAAAATACTTCCACCTCTTCCTCAAATCTTTTTCTTTGGGAAACCTTCAAAATGAAAACAGGAGATTTGTGGCTACACAAAAACATTGTACAAAGGAGGTCAATCTTATTTTCTGTTTCCTATATTCTCCCTAGTTTTATTTTTTATATCCTAGAACTTAAATAAAACTCCAATTCTGATGCATATCTGTTGATAATGAACCAAAGCTACTGAAATTGTGAGTACACTTGTTAGAAAAATATTCCTGTCATCAGCTCTCAGTTAGCTTCATTGCAGCTGAACACCGGTGTTACACTGAACATAGCTGGTGGACATAAATACAGTACAGTAATATTCTATTCACAAAATACTAACAATAATATGTTCATCTTACTTGTGAAAAGTTATACCCCGAGACCTGACGTCAACAGTCCGTCGATTAGAACATAAATAAGCTGCGAAGTGCTGAGACATCTTCTGCTTTAACCAAATAAAGACGACCGCTCCAAGATGGCCGCCGAAATTCCTGCGCTGCAGCAGCCAATGCGGGATCTAGTGATTATATGATATCTATGATGTCCAGCCATCACTCTGCGAGAGGCGGGGGACAACCTGGGCAGGTCTCCAGTTCATCACAGGAACACATAGAGACAAACGAGACAAACAAACATTCACTCTCTCACTCATATATAGGGACAATTTAAAGTTACCCATCAGTCTAATATGCATATTTTTGGTCTGTGGGAGGAAAGTGGTGTACCTGCAGGAAAACCCACAAAGCACAGAGAGAACATGCATCTTTCTCCACCCAGAAAGGCCCCCGGACCGGGATTTGAACAAGGGTGACCTGCTCACTGAGAGGCAGCAGCTCTACCAACTGTGCCACCGTGCTGCCCGTCTAATAGAAAATTTGTCAAATTATTTTAACACAGTTTATTCACATCATTGCTTATCAAAAAGTCCAGTGATGTTAAAAACAGAACCTAGGTAATCTGGTGGTATGACTGACAGTACAGTAACAATTAAATTGTTAAAGCTTCAATTTTGTCCCTAGTCGCGGAATGAACAAGAGGAATTTGAAAATACCCTTAGTCTGTCCAGGCATATTGTGAGCGTAATAAGTTGAAAAATAAGTGAAGTACCGACGTCCGTTTTGGTGTTAGAGTCAGAGATGTTTTATTGTCATTTCAGCTACATACAAGTACATATTGAAACGAAACAGCATTTGTCCAGGATCACTGTACAACACAGAACATAATGTGCAAAAATAAAACAATACACAGTGCAGATACACAACAGAACAATAAATACAAACAGACCTATAATGAATGCAAAAAGACATCTGACCTAATCTAAACATTCCAATCTAAACAAGTATTTAAGAGACAAGACTAGACATGTGTTGATTAGTACATGTGTAGAACATGTACATGTAACATATGTAACATGTACATCGAGGTAGAACATGTTCTGATATGTGGTTAGCAGTACAATGTTTTCTGTTTTTTACCAGCAGAGATAAAAACTGTGTAAGGTGCAACAATGCTAAAACTTGAGCAGATTGTAAAAATGTACAAGTAGTCACAAGCAATACAACACATTTAGATTGTGTGTGTGTCAGAGTCCATCATGTATGTGTGTCAGAGTCCATCATGTACAGTGTGTGTCAGAGTCCATCATGTATGTGTGTCAGAGTCCATCATGTATGTGTGTCAGAGTCCATCATGTATGTGTGTCAGAGTCCATCATGTCTGTGTGTGTGTATGTGTGTGTCAGAGTCCATCGTGTGTGTGTGTCAGTGTCCATTGTGTGTGTGTGTGTGTTTGTGTGTTTGTCAGAGTCCATCATGTGTGTGTGTGTGTGTGTGTGTCAG